TATATATATATATATATATTTATATATATATTATATATATATTATATATATAGTATATATGATACTACTATAAGTGTTATAAACCTATTATTTTATTTGAAAAAATTGTTTTCCATCTTTTATAATCTGTAGTCATTAAATTACAATTGTAATTTTGATAACATAGTATTGAAAAATAGTCAAATTTTCATCAATAAGTCAATTTTGCCTTTTTAGAATGAATTTGAACAGTAAAAAAAAAAAATTATATAATATGTATATATCTATATACATATCTCCAAAATTTTTTGAATTTTCGAATTGGGAATCTTTTTTTTTTAGTATTAATACATAGTGGTAAATATATTTCGAATATCTCGAAAAGTAAAAGAACTTGTCTATTATACGTTCAAGAAAAAATTGTTCAGATGATTTTCGACAACACATTGACGATATATTTTAAGATTATATCGTGATGTCTTTTAAAGTAAATGATTATCAAAAAAATTAATAAATTTATATATAATATAATAAAATTTCCTTTGCTTTAAAAATCTTCTCTAAAATAAAAATATTTTTATTTATCACTGATATTATTTAAATGTTAAATAATTTTCTTTTTAATTTGCATTTTTATTTTTTTTCATATTTGAATTATGTAAAGTTGATAAAAATGCATAAAAAATGAAACTAATATATAACATAAAGAATTTTATTATATACGATAATTTTGTCTTATATCTCATATTCACTCAGATTTGTTCCAATTTATATTCAAAATATTTATCCTAATAACCTTTATATAATCATATAATTATACTTTATTATACTTTGGCAAAACAAATATTTTTTAACATGAAGAAATATCGCAATATAAATATATTAACTAATTTTTTTCGAGATTTCGCGATAATTCGAATTAAAAATCTTAAGAATTTTAAATTGTTAAATTCAATAATTTAAAGAAATTGAATTATTATGTCATAAATCAAAATCTTCATCATCGTATAGATATATTCTCCATAAATATTATATTACGAATGTGAAAACATATACTTTTAGAATGAAATATTTAATATACATAGACTTTAAATCTAATTTATATCTTAACTCAAATCCATATAGATATGCATGTATGCATATATATGGAGAGAGAAAAAAAATCAATTCATATGTATCAGCAGTTCATATAGTAAAAATTTAAAAAAAACATAAGTAAAAGAGAGTAATCTATGAATTGGCTATTACAATTTTTTTATTATATTTAATTTCGATTGTTATAATCTTGAAAATTTGAAATTAAATGAGATAAAATTATAATTTTAAATTAAAATGTGAATAAAATTAATTGTTCAAAATGACAAAAGTTTAATGAATAAGAATGAATAATAATGAAAAAGAAATAGCAAACTATAGTAAAATAAAACTGAACAAAAAAAAAAATAAATAAATATAAAATAGAGAAAAAAATATTTAAAAAAATATTATTATAAATATTAGAATAAATTGAATGAAGAATACATATCTATATTTAATTTTCGAAAAAAGTTGTTATTGTAAGAAATTAATAATAACGGAATTGATTTGTATTTAATTTTTAATGTTATTAATAAATTTGATAAAAAATTTTCAATATATATATTTACTTTTATGTTACACTCTTATATACTTACACAACATACATATATTCAGTCATGCTCTTTTTCATATTTATGTTAGGAGTCATTCGTGCCTTAATTTTCTTATTATTTGTCTTTCTCATTCACATATTCACAAAGTAATCTCATAATTAATATATAATATTATAGAAGAATATAATAATAATATTAGATTTATTTATTATTGAAACATGATTTTAGAATAAATTAAATATACTTTTTCGTCTTTTTTATTTAAAACTATATAAAATTATAAAAATAAGTTTACTTTTCTAATCAGTAATTCTAAATTCATTATGAAACATTTGATTTTAGGTCATTGTCTAAACCAAAACAACCGACGAACATATGTAAAATACATATGTAAAGATCAACCATTTTGATCTATTAGTATCGCGCCTAAGATACTTATCAACAGATACAATGTGCCCATATTAAATGTTGTTTTTTAACATACGTATCAAATATTGAAGATCGATACGTTTATTGTTTATGTTGGAAATTTCTGTCTATGATTTTATATATACATATACATACATATATTTGAACATTTATATACATACATATAAACATTTTAATATACTGAAATTAATAATAATATACAAAGATAATATACTGATATTAATAATAATGTACAAAAATACATTATAATGTGCTGTTTAAAATATTATTCATATTTGTAATGAAATTCTAGTTTATTATGGATGTTAGCGTGAACGCGATTTAAAAAATGATATATACATATATATAAATAAAACTTACAAAATAGGAGGAAAAGAAAAGAAAATATCTTTTTTGCTATGGTATTGTAAATAATCTTTAAAATTTGATCATATTAGGATAAGAATATAATTAGCAGATCGTGATTATAATAGATGATTAATCAACTGACTAAAAAAAAAGATACTAATTAAAACAAATTCGATTGTTTTAATAAATTGTTTTAATTAAAAGTAATTAAAACAACGTATAGAATTTAATTAGTCACCTACATTGCGATCTGCTATATTTTTTATAATTGAGTGATATTATAGACTATATTTGTTACTCTTCGTTTTATGTCAAATTATATAATATATTATTTAAATAAATAAGATTTATAGAATTTTGCGAAATGCGATATATAATCGATAATCAATACAACAGTTAAAATGTTATATACATGAAAATATGAAATATGCGAAAAAACAGAAAAGATAAAACGAATGAATATATTGATTATATATAATTATTTTAATATATATATATATATATATATAAATAATATATATAAAAAATATATATAATATATATATTTAATATATACAAAAATAGTGACAATATTTGGTATCAAAATATGTATAGGATTATAAATATTTAGAAAGTTATAATATCTTTACTCGGAAAAACGAATTATGTCGTTTTTGCAACAATATTGGAAACAAATTATTGTAAGAAAAATCTAGATAAAATTATATATCATTATAATTACTAATTCAAAAAATCACAAATATTTTATAACCATTTTCTGCTATATTAAAGTGTTTGTTAACAATGTTTTATTATACATATATATTTTAAATAATTATAGATTTTATTTTATTGTATTTTCAAATTTATATTCAATTGTTTTATATTACAACTGTTATAATTTTGATAATCGGTAAGTAATATAATAATATTTATTAATAATATTTCTTGACAATATTTTGAAAATTTTTGGTATAGTCATTTTTATCTTCACATTTAATTATAAATAAAAAAATTTTGTTTATGTGTCGTTTATGTCGTTTTTGTTTATGTGTTGTTTATGAAATACAATTATATTGCATAAAATCAATAATTCTGTTAATATCTACTTTAAAATACGAATAATCATTAATAGCTAAAAAACAAAAATTAATAAAGAAAAAATCTTTTAAACTTTTCAAATTAAAATGAATCAAATTCAGCAAATTGTTTTTTATTCATTATGAAAGTATTTAATAAAAACAGTTTGAACAATTTATACAATTTGCAAATTTGCAAATTAATTACAAAATTATAAATTTCTAAAATTAAATTTGTATATATTTCTTTTGTGATTATTTCTGATTGTGAAATAATTTTATTGAATAATATCAAAGATAAAAATATATCCTGACAAAAATGATATATGAATTAAAATTTGAAAAATTAATTAATTATTTCTATCCTTATTTTATCATTATTTTAATCGATGCAATGAAACAATTAAAAAATTTAATATTTAATTTTATCGATAAAATAATTGTTATTTTTATTATTCTGTAAATTATATCAATAATAATCAAACGAAAATCCAAACTATATTCATCAATGTTTGTGATTAATTAAATCTAATCTTTGTCATACATCTTTTTTACAATTCAATGTGACCAAATGCTAGCCAATTTTTCGAAAAATTAATAAAACTAATAAAAAATTGATTCGAATTGACTGATTTTGTAATTGTTAAAAAAAATGCATTACTTAGAAAAATTATAATAAAATATAAATATATAATATAATAAATAATATAAAATTATAGAATTAATTTCAAACAATAATAAAATTATATATGTATATAAAATTATTTTCATAATACTAATATATTATCTTAATTCTAATCATCTCTATATGATATGTATATTTACTGTTAAATATAATATATTATAGACATATAATTCTAGTGTTGACTCGAAAATTATTCTTTTAGAATAAAGAAAAAATATTCTTTTATATATTTAGAAACAAATAGAATATATATTATAGAGTTTTCATTATAATTGTTAATTGAATTTTTATTATTTTTTGAATTTATTATTGTTTAAAAAACGATTATCGAAATCAGATATATACTAAACGAAAAAGAAAAAAGATAAAAGATTATATTTTTATAGATATATTATATTTGTAAAGATATATTTATAATAGATATATTATATTTGTAAATAAATTCTCTGTAACTTTTGATTCTTTGAACACTAGTCAGAAAAAGAGAAAGAAGAGAAAAAAAAATAAAAAAGAATTTTGTATTATAATTTTGTATAAATAGAATTCATATAAATTCTAATTGTATAAATATTAAAAAAAAATGAAAATTTTCATATTTGTAAAATAAAATACATTACTGTATCTATTAAAAAAATTGTTGAATGATGTGTGTATTTAATTATACTATTGAATATATCTTTCAAAAAGGTGTTCAATATAGTATTCATTTTTTTTTCTATATTAACAAAAAGTGAAAGAAAAAATCCAGAAAAAATCACTCGATTTGAGCAAGCGAATCGAATTCAATTTGTGAATCGGAAGATTATGTGTAATGTATGCTTCAAATTAGATAGTTAATAATTTCTTTTTTCAATTTTAAAACAATTTTAAAACTTATAAAAAATTTTACTTATAAATATTTTTGTAAAATATATTTTCATAAGTGAATAATTATTATCTTCTTAACATTTAATTAATATTGATGTTCATATCATTAAAAATTTTTCTGCTTTAATTATAATTTTAATTGTATTTTGCGAACATTTTTTGTTTCAATATTATTTTTTTTCTTAGCATTGAAGATTTTCAAGAATTTCTTGAAAAAAGAATTCTTTTTTAACATTTTTAAAATATTATAATATTTTTTGTAATGTTTACAAATAAATAAAAATATAATGATATTAATAAAATGATTTCTTTTTATAATTTCACTGATATTTTTCATATCTATTCTTTGTTTTAAACTTACCTCTGTAATTTATTGTAAGATACTTGATTTTTATTCTATTCTTTTATTATAAATATTTTAAATTATTTTGATTAAAAAATTTTATTTTTTTTACTTTTTTTAAATCATAAAAATTTAAATTTGATTGAAAATTTAATTTATTAGTTTGATAATAATCTTTTACACTTTAAAGACATCAATCCAAAATTTTTTATTAGATTTTCAAGTGATTTTTAAAATTAAAAAAGTAAAAATGAACAGTTTAATGATTCCGAAATATTCATTCAAAAACTATCAAAACTAATTATTAGAAAAACACTCATAAATCAAACGCAAAAAATTGAATATTTTAATTCATATATATAAAGAATAAAAGAAAATAATGAGATGATATTTATTTCTATTTGTAACAAATATTAATATTATAAATTACAATCACATTTAAAAAATAAATAATTATATTATAAAATATATATATAATTTTAGATTAATAAATAAATTTTATTAATCTTATATAGATATTTAATTGTAATAATTGTAATAATTGTATAATATGTATATATCGAATATTTATATAATATAATAATTTTATTAAAAACTTATATCTTATAATTAATTTTGATAACTTTCTATATTATATACTATATCATAACGTATGATTATTGCTATTATAAATATTTCATTCAAAAAAATAATTTAAATTAAATTAAATTAAAATATGATGAAAAATATATATCTTTCTTTTTTCAAAAAGAAAGATTTTATTTACAAGTATAGAAATAATAATGAATAATAGATGTAAAACTGATATTACTGATTATCCTAACTCCAGTCATTATAATTCGATCATCTAAATATTATTTTATATATTATTTTCATATTAATAATATATTATAAATATTAATTTTATCATATTTATTATATTTATACATTCTGCTGCATCATCATGCATATAAATAAATGCATTCTATAAGAACTGAAGTTAATGTCGTTATTGTATCATCAATAATTGACGATAACGAAAATAATTATATTAGTAATGTTTAAATTTATTGAGTTTGAAATATTAAAATATAATATTCAAAGATTTTTATCAATATGTTGGAAATTATAAATATTAAAAGTCAAAATAAATAATAAAATTAAAATTTATTTTATCATTTTTATATTTTTATCTTCAATTTTCTATCATCATCACTTTTAAATTTTAAATCAATTGATTATTGATATTATCAATTGATTATTGATATTTATATTGATTATTCGTGCATGCTATTCTTTCATATTTTAATTTAATGAATTTTAAGTTACTATCTAAATTAAAAAGATTTAATTAAAGATTTTTTTCTACATAAACAGCTTAGTATTTTTTTATAAAAAATAATGAACTATTGATTAATATATCTATTTAGAAAAAGGAAAAAAGAATGATATATCCATTTTTAATATATCTATGTGATCTCTATAATTTAAAAAATCGATCTATAAAAAATTATCAATTAAAATATTTTATTATATTTTTTATTATTTTTTTGATATAAGTTAATATCAACTTATAAATAGCAATAGTTATAATATTTCAAAATTATAAATAAATAAATTATTTGAAACAATATTTGTAAATATATATTGATTTAAATAATGCATATGATTGCATATATTGATTTAAATAATACATAAATTT